AGCTCACCAAGCGCATCGCGGCCATGAAGAAGAGCCACTACGAGTGCGGGGCTTTCTGGAGCAAAGCCAACATACCATACAGATGGAAACGGGCTGTACTACTCTGCAGAATCATCAACACTGGCCTCTCTTGCATAGACTGCTTCCTGCCGACAGCCACGGAATACCGACAACTACAGAGCGCAATGGGAGCGCTAATACGACGGGCGATGAGGGGCAGAGCTACGACGTATCACGAGGACGGGAACGTGAGGAGCATGAATACCTTGGAGGTCTTCCGTCATAGGCAAATATTGCCGCCAGCGGAAGAGGCACTGGTCAGGAGAGCCAGCTGGCTAAAAAACATCATACGATATCCCAACAACCACAAACAGTCGATAGTCGCGCTCTTCGGCCGAATCGAGTTCGAGAACCACGAAACGAACTGCGATGCGATCAATAGCGACACCAACCCCTGGGCTCAGAAGCTCCTTGAGGACATCCAGTACGCCTGCGAGGTCTCGGAGAGTTTCCAGACGTCTTGGGAGAGGGCAAGAACGTAACGATCGGCAAGCTCTTCACGCTAAACATGAGATAACAACTTGTATGTCTGGATCCACGGGAAGTCAGAGCGGCCAAGCTAACAATATCAAGACCTCCTGTACAATATGATCATAATGATGAAGAACGAGAAACACATAGCGCTGGACGAACACACCGTATGGAAATGCGAACTACACTATCAGACGACCCGTGAAAGTATCGCCAACCAGACAGCATGCGGCATGCTATTTGCAAGCAAGAAGACACTGCACAGTCATACCATAAGAGTCCATCATGTACATCACTTAGCTGCAGCTTTGACAAGCAATAACGAGTGCATCAATTGCGGGCAGGTGTTCACTAGCAAGGGCACAGCCTGAAAACATCTAGCACGCAGCATGATCAGAGGAGGATGCAACAGAGACACTACAAATAATCAGCATCGGCCGACCCCTCACGATCCGAGATGCCCGATCTGTAGTCATTTTGCCCTGGACAAACACAGCTGCCAAAGACACCTTCTTACACACTTACCGAGAAAGTTATTGCAACCAGAGAAGGATGTCGCTATTCGAAGAACGACCTGGAAGGCAAGCGCTACCGAGACCAGAGGGAGACCGTCCAGACAGCTACAGAGAACGCCAGGGACAAGCACAATGAGGAGAAGGAGTACCAGCCCGTGCAGGACAACAACGACAGAGGATCGACTGGACGGCCAGGCTGACCTTCGCTACTGCACGCGAGCAAGCCGAACTAGCGGCAGTACAGGCATGGGAGATAAACATCTAGACCAGTATCGCTACCTTGGGGCTCGACGTCGACAAGGCACATAACGACCAGATGCAGGACCCGAACAAGCGAGACAAGAACGGAGAGCAGGTGGACACCGAGGCCCTGGGGTACCTGCACGTGGAGACGCGGGCGGAGGTGTACGCGCACATGGGCAAGAGCGAGGAGGACGCGGACGGAACGATCCTGGAGCAGTACTACAGCGACATCCTGGGAAGAACGGCCGACGTCAATGGATATTCAGTTCCAGTATCAGTATTGGGCGTCGGTCGCAGCAAAGACAAGGAGGGATGGGACAAAGACACATGCAGATTCCAGTTCACGAACAACTCGAACGACTACCAGATCGAAATCAACCAGATCAACCAGCTGAAGAGGAAGGGAACAACGAGCGGAGTGGGATTGGCTCTGCAGAGGGAGCTGGGCTACCAGGTCAATGGCTGAGAGGAGATGGGGGAGGGCGGCGGCGAGAGAGAGCATGGCAGACAGGCCGAGCCGAGCCCAGAGAAGAACATCGGATAGGCTTACGCCAAATACAGAGTGAGAGGCTGCCGCGCACTGTGCCCAGAGTTTTCGAAACAAGCGTGCGATTCAGAGAGCTTGCCGCCAGAGGTAGCCTCGCTCCACCTCCTCCTCAGAGCACTCCTGAGATTTTCCAGTTCAGAGGCCAAGAATTTCCATATTACTTTTTGATGCACCGCCCCCCCCCCGCCAGAACCCAAAAGAAAAGGTCGAGGCAAGGGGGGACGAACCCAAGGTAAAAACCAGGGGCAACAGGCGAGGTAGGCTATCAGCAAGGTGCGGGTGCTACCCTGTCCTCCGCCTCTGCGTGGGGCTCCAGGTGCGGGTAGGGCCCGAGCGCTTATTGGCGCCAGCTCACCCATCGTACGAAGCGAACCCAGCTAGGACGACATGAAAATAAGTTTTTATGAAGCAGCCTACTGACATGAGGCAGCAGCGAACCCCGTCCCCACGGCTCGATCGATCGATCCTCTTCCTCCCTTTTCTCTTCCTCCTCTTCTTCCTCCTCCTTCGACGTTTCCGTCCTCATCGTTTCCTCCTCGTCGTCCTCCTCCTACTCGTCCTCGGGCAGAACTGACGAAAAAGACGGGGGGGGGGGTGCAGTTCACATGAACCCAAGACGAATCAAACATGCTGCGATGACCCCCCTTTTCCGAGCCTATCGTCACAGGGCCCACAACGAAATCCATGCGGGAAATGGCCCGTTGGAAAACACCCATCAGCGAATTGTCAATCGCGCCAAATCATCTGTCCTGGGACTTCGACGCCGCGGATTTGCGCTCTGGTAATCCCAATTCGCGTCAGCACGGGATTTATGGGACTTCAAGACCCCGAATCAACGCGACCGCAATCTATCCTACACAATCGACAAAGAACGCCAAACGTGGTGCAATCCATGTGGCGCACTTGGTTATAACAAACGAGCTGGCACATCCCATGCTCCTACAAACATCCCCCCCCCACACCCATCCGCAACTTGGTTTGCAAAACCCATGCGGCGGCGATTGCGACGCATGCTTGGCGTTGGCTGGTGCATCTCTGCGGCCGCGCCAACCCTAGCACGCGCGCAGCGGCCAGCTAGTTCGGCGCCGCCGACGGCCGCGGTGGCGCTGACCGCTGGGCGCATCCCAGCGGGCACCTCGCTGCGAGTCGGCGGCTTGGGCGGGCGCGGCATCATGGCGACACCGGCAACGGTAGACACGACGATGATAGTAGCCGCGCTGGCGACAACGTTCGCGCCGGCGAAGGCGCGGCCAGCGCGGGCGCCGATGCTGATCGCGCCGACGGCGATGACGGCGCCCTGGCGCCGGTGAAGGTTTCGGGAAGAATTCGACACGCGCGCGCGGCCGACGCGCGAGAGCGGCCCGCGTGGTATTAGTTGACACAGGTCGCGCCCCCCCTCCCCAGCGCGCGCGCAAGGGCGCGCGAATGATGTCGGCGCGCGGCGCCAGAAGCCCGATCGGCAGAAGTGAATGAACATGCCGACGAAAAAACATGGCTGTTGCTTAAGAATTCGCAGAAGCGCGCGAGTTTTTTGTTGGAAATTGACGTTGCAAACCATGTGTTCTTGAACGTGGTCTGGACATTCTGTTTTGAAATCGCTGCGGAACCGAAGGTGCCTGAACACATGTTGGCACGCGCGCGCGACAAGGCGCGCGCGCGCTTCGTTTTGCACGGGGGTCTCGCGGCGGCGCGCGCGCAAGGGTTGCGAGTGGCTGAGCGGGGCAGAAGCGGTCGCCCTTGGAAAATAAAGAAAGTTCGGGCTGGAGTTCGGGCGGGGGGGAATCCATGAGTTCGAATTCGAAAAGCCCCCGAACCGAAAGTTCGAACGCATGTCAAGGCGGCCCCCCGGCACAACGACTGAGTTCGAACGCGCGGGGCGGTGGGCGCTAACGCTCGCAGAGAGCAGGAGTGGCGAATGAAAGTTCGAACGGAGGAAACTGCTGACAAGCGGGTTCGAAATCGAGCCACGGCGGAAGCTCGGAAGATGTGCGCATTGGGCGAACGCTCGATTGAAACGCGAGCCGTTGCCACGCCGCCCCCGGGCCCCTTGCGCGCGCGCGCTTCGACGGCGCGCCTGCAATCCCAAGCCGACGGGGTGGGAAGCGCGGCGCGCCGCGCCCCTGGGCGGCGGCGCCCGCCGGTCGCGCGCGCGGCATGGGCAAACGAGGGGGGCGGGGGCAAACCCGCCACGCCCCCCTCTCGCTGCGCCTCCATGAGGCGCGGGCGCGGGCGGCCCCCTGGGGCCAAAAGGGACTTGGGTCAAACTGCTTGGGCCAAAATGGCGTCTCAGTCTCCTCCCCTCGCCCTTTCCCCGCCCTCTCCCCCCGCCCCTCGCCCCCCCTTCCTTCCCCTCCTCCGCCGCCCCCCCCCCCCCCCCATCGCGCGCTCCTCCTCCTCGTCGAGGGCCCCCGGCCAACGGCGTCGGAGGTCTGGGCTCGGGGGGCCGAAGCCCGACCGCCGACCATATCGGGAGCGCGCCAGGGCCAAAATTTCGAGCGCACCCGGCCGCGGCAGCGACGGCGGGCCCCCCCTGGCGGCGGCGGCGGCGGCGGCGACGGCGACGGCGACGGCGACGGCGACGGCGACGGCGACGGCGACGACGACGACGACGACGACGACGACGACGACGAACGACGACGACGACGACGACGACGGACGACGGACGACGGACGACAACGACGACGACGACGACGACGGCGGCGACGACGACGACGACGACGGCGACGGCGACGACGACGAGACGGCCATTCACGATTTCTGGCCCACCAGGGGGCCGCCTTCGGGCTCTGGGGCCCTCCGTTCGGGGCTCGATTTCCAAAGGGGGCCGCCTCGAGCCTGGTGGCTCGAGCAGCGACGGGGGCTCGCGGGGCGCCGGCAAGCCCCGCCATGGGGGGGGGGCGATGGGGGGGAAGCGGGGGGGGGGGTGCGAGGAAGGGGCGGGGGAAGGGGGTGGGAAGGGGGGGGGGGGGAGGGCGGATGAGGAGGAGGAGGAAGAAAATGAACAGGAGGAGGGCGGGGAAAGGGGGGGGGGCAGAGGAGGAGAGGGGGGGGGCGGAGGAGGAAGAACAAGAGAGGGGGGAGGAGGAGGAGGAGGGGGAGGAAGAGGAGGAGGAGGAGGAAGAGGAGGATCGAGGAGCAAGAGGAGGAAGCGGAGGGAGAGGCTTCATGGCGTTATGGCGCATGGAATGGGAACCTCCTTTCCTGCCGCCCATCTACAAGCCTCCTAGATCAGGTCGGAGTAGATGGGGTCGGAGGAGCGCGCCGCGTCGCCGATGCACCGGCGATGCGTCGTCGACGCGGGCGGTGCGTCTGCGACGTCGACGCGAAGCAAATCGGGCTCTGCACCGAGCCGCGTCGGCGATGCATCGGCGACGCGGAGCGATCCTCCGACCCCATCTACTCCGAGCCCATCTAGGAGGCCATCTGGCCCCGACGGGAAAACAGGCGCATCGCTCCTGTCAGGGGCCGCGCCGCTGCTTGGAAGCAACGATGCGCAGCCCCATTGGCCGCCTCGCGCGTGGAGGAAGGCAATGCGCTGCGAGCTTCGACGCCTCCGGCGCCAGCAAAGGAAAGAGGCGCGCCGCGCTGCGCAGTCCCAGCTGCCTCGCGCGGGACTACAAGGCCACGCGCTGCGCGCTCTGCCGCTTCCAGCGCGAGGCCCCTCTGAGCTACGCCCCCCCCCCCCGCGGGCGCCCCCCGCGCGGGCCCCCCTATGCCGCGCAGAGCGCCCCCCCCGGCGACCAGCCCCCCGGGGGCCCCCGGGGCGGCGTCGCCGGAGTTCAAGAAAAATTCAGCGGCCTCGCCAGAATTAGAAAAAAGTTCGGCGGCCTCGCAGGGGCTCGGAAAAAAGTTCAACAATTTGAGAGACAGCTCGGGGACAAAATGCAAACGTATAAAAAGCTCCAATGTTTGCACCCCGCCTCGCCCCCGCGGGCGCCCCCTGGGGCGGCTTCGCCGGAATTCGGAAAAAGTTCGTCGGCGTTCGAAAGTTCGGCGGCCTCGCCGTAATTCGAAAAATGCAAAACTTGGAAAAAGAGGAAACGTTCGGGACATGTTCAATACTTTGAACAGAATTCCAACACAGTTTGCTATATGAAAAGCCGCGAGAAAGTTCAAAAGTTTGAACGAAGCCCGAAACAGTTTGAAAAAAGTTCGCAACAAGTTCAAGAATTTAAACGGAGCTCGAAACAATTCAAGACATTGACCCCCCACCGCCCTCCTGCCCCCCCCCCCCGGGGCGGCTTCGCCGGAGTTCGAGAAAGTTCGGCGGCCTCGCCGGAATCCGAAAAACTTGTTCGGCGGCCTCGCCGGAGTTCGAACAGCATCAAAAGTTGGAAAACAGTTTGAAATAAGTTCAAAGGTGACAGCAAAAATCGAAAAAGTTAGAAAAATAAAAAAAACACGTGTTTAAACTACATGTCCCCCCCCCCCCCCCGCCCCCCCGGAGGGCCTGGGGTCGGCCTCGCCGGAATTCGAAAAAAAGTTCGGCGGCCTCGCCGGAGCCCCGACAAAATTCAAAAAGCTCGATCAGTTGAAAAAAATAAATGGCTCGGGGCCCAGGAAAAACTCAGACGCAGCCCGGGGGGTCGGAGAAAGTGCGCCCCCCTGCCCCCCCCCCTCGGGCCGAGGGCCTCAGTGGGCTTTGCCCTCCCGCCAAGGCAGCCTGAACTGGCCGCCGCCGGCGCGCGCGCGCGACGCCGCCGGGGGGCCCCGCGCCCCGCCCCGCCGCCGGCGAAGTCTGGTTTCGCGGGCCCCTCGCCGAGAGGCGCCAAACGCGTTTGCCCCCGGGCGCCGCGAGAAAATCAAACAACGAAATTGTGGCACCCTGGGGGATATGCCCCCCATGGCCCGACGGCCACCTCAGGGGCCGCGCCGACAAACTGCCCTTATGGATCGGGCCGATGGCCTGCAGGGTGCCGCGTCTCGAGACAAAACGCTACGCGCCGGAGGATTAAGCCCGCGCTGCCATGGGGCGCCAGCATTCTAGAAGCTCCCGGGTGCCATGGGTGCGCGCGCGGCGCTTCGTGGGTACTTTTCGGGCGGGGGCCGCGCGCGGCGCGCGTCGGCGATCCGCCGTCGGGCCCCGCGCCGGGCCCTGGCGCGAGGCCGCGGCGAGCGGCGCTGCGCGCGCGCCCGCCATCAGTGCTGGGCAGCGAAGGGCTCTCCCCAAATGGCGATCGCAATGAGGGGCCCCTACTTCCCCGCAGGCCCAGGCACAGCGGCCCGCGGGCTTCTTCAGCCCCCTGGTGCGCCGCGCATGACGCGGGGGGGCCCGCGAGTTTTTTTTCTGCGCGCGGCCAGGGGGCCCTGCCCGCGCGTCGCCCGCGGGGGCGCGCAGACTCCTCGTTCTACCCGCGGAACCTCGCGCGCGCTCGGCGCGCGGGTGGCCGCGGGATCTCCGGCGAGGCCCCGCGGCCATTTCCGCGCGCCGAGCCAGGGGCCAGGGCGAGGGGGGGGCGCGCGCGGTCTCGCGCGCTGGTGCGTCGGCGCAGCTGCGGAGCCTTGCCGCATCGCCCGCGGGGGTGGCGCGCAGACCCCCTGCCCTGGCCACGAAGCCTCGCGCGTGCTCGGCGCGCGGGCGGCCGCGGGATTTCTGGCGCAGCCCCGCGGCCCCGCCCGCGCGACGAGCCAAAACCGGGGCCCTGCCCGCGCGTCGCCCGCGGGGGCGCGAAGACGCCGACCCCGCTCGCAGGCCGCGCGGGGGCGCGCGCGCGCCCTGCGGCGCGGCCGCGCGCCCGCCCCCCGCCCCGTCGATCGCCGCGCGCGGGCGCGCGGGCCCGCGGCGCGGCGGCGGGGCCCCGCCCGCGCGCTGCGCGAGAGGGGCCGCTAATCCTCTGGCGCGCCGTAACCCGGCCCGTGCGTTTTGCAGGACGCGCCGCTATGTTTTCCGATCCCTTGAGTCTGCAGTGCAATATGGATCAGCCATGCATGGAAATCCCGCCCGCGCGCTCGGCACGACGAGCAGGGGCCCTCCGGCGCGGCCGCGCGCGCCCGCGCGCGCGCCGCGCGCGGCGCCGCAGAGCCGGCGCGCGCGGCCGCGGGGGGGCCATCCGCGCGACGCGCGCGGGGCGTCGCAGATACTTCGGCGCGGCCGCGGGGTCGCCCTGCGCGCTGCGCGCGAGGTGCCGCCACGGGGCCCCGCCTGCGGGCTTCGCGCGAAGTGCCGCGCATTTCCCCGCGCGGCCACGAGGGCCCGCGCGCGCGTTGCGCGCGAAATGCCGCGGTGGTTGCACGGCGGCCGCGCGGCCCCGCCAATGCGCCGCGCGCGAAGCCCTGCCCATGTGTGATATCGAGCGCGAGCTACGCCGAGTCCCATTCCACTCCTGTCCCAGCCGGATGCGACTGATGCGCGCAACAAGCGTTGCATGCCCGGCATTCGCCGGCCATGCGGAATTGCCCCTGAGACCGACCCGGGTGACAAGTGGGGATGCGAAGAATGGAGACATGGCAAATTTGCTCATCACCCTGACAACCATCGACGCTACCGCCAATTACCCGCGGGACATGTCTCAGCCGAGCACGGGGCATGCCACGACGAGGCGATTTCTGCACCGACGAGAACGACATCTGCACGCGGCGCCCACGCGCGCCGTCGAAAACCAGCGCTCTCCCGCGCAGCATTCTGTCAGCACTATAAGTCAGAGATCATGGAGGCGACAAAACTTTGACCGCGCACTCCTTGGCCGAATTGAGCACAATCAGCCGCGAAACGCCGCGCGCAACGGGCAGAGCTCAGGCGCCAATTATGCGCCCGAGCATTCTTCAAACTTCTCGGTCGGCGCGGAACCTGTTCGGACTTTTCCCGAACTCGTTCCAGACTCTCTTCCCGCCGCCAAACATTAACCGAACTTTTTCCGAACTTCAGAATTTTGAGCGACCTTGAACTTGAACTTCGTAAAAGCATTGGTCCTGCACTTTTCCAAACTTTGATTGTTATAACCCGAAGATCAATTCTGGCCCATCAGCCACTTACAACGCATGGGCGCCCGAACGATTTCGACATGCGCGCGCGAAGCCCGTTTGTTAGCACGTTCTGAACATGTTGAAAAAACACGCACGGCTTTCTTCCGAATTCGCAATTGGCGCGCGTTTTTTGTTTGAAAAATCCGCGTCGCGAAAACATGTGTGTTCATATGATTTTTGGACACTCGATTTTGAAATCATTCCGAAACCGAAGGTTTGCGAAGGATTCCAGCATGCGCGCGCGACGACGCGCGCGTGTACACTTCGTCGCACTTTGTTGCAAAAAGATTCTTGGAAACGCATGATTGCTGATAAACAAATGCGCGCGCATTGTTTTTTGAGACGATGGCGGGGGGGGGGGGGGTCGGACCCGGCTCGGCTGGGATGGTGCGAAGTCATATTTCGGATGGGCGATTGTGCAGAATCATACGACGATTGCAACGCAAGAAAAATACGGATAAAGCCGGGGGTGGGGGACGCGTGACTTGCCCACTTCGCTGCTCGCGCAATCGCACCCGCCCGCGCAACTTGGTTTGCAAAACCCATGCGGCGGCGATGCTGATGAATGCTTGAAGTTGACTGGTGCATCTCTGCGGCCGCGCTCGCCCGCACATGCTCGCGCGCGCAGCGGCCAGCTACTTTGGCGCCGCCAGCGCGGCCGCGGTGGCGCTGACCGCTAGGCAAATCCCAACGGTCGCTCAAGTGCGAGTCGGCGACTGGGGCAGGCGCGGTATCATGGCAACCTCGACAACGGTAGACCAGATGACGAGGTTAGCGATGCTGGTGACGATGATGACATCGACGACGAGGAGGCCAGTGACGGCGCCGATACTGATCACGCCGGCGGCGATGACAACGTCCCCGCGTCGGCGATGAAGGATTTCGAGGGAGTTCGACACGCCGCGCGGCCGACGGAGAGTGGCCCGCATGGTATTGGTTGACACGCATCGTGCCCCCCCCCCCCCCAGCACGCGCGCAAGGGCGTTCGAATGATTTCGACGTGCGGCGCGAGGGGCCCGTTCGGCAGACTTTAATGAAAATGTGGGAAAACCACGGTTTTCCTTAGAATTCGCAAACCCCCCAACGCAATTTCTTAAGAATTTCTGCCCCCCCCCAAAAAAAAACTGCTGCAAAACCGTATGTCGACATGCTTTTGGGACACTCGATTTTGAAATCCTTGCGACACCCCGCGTTTTTGAATAATTGCGGCTTGGGCGCGCGATGGCGTGCGCGTGTGCACCCCGTCCGTTTTTTCAATAGGGACTCTTGCGACAGCAGCAAATATTTAACACGTTGGGAAAGCATGGTTTTCTTAAGAAACCCGCAAGAGCCCGAGCGCAAGCTTATTTTAAACAATTTGTTGCGAAACCATGTGTTTGTATGTGTTCGGGGCGCTCGATTGTGAAATCCTTACGCAACCTAAGGTTGTTGACGGGTTTCGGCAAGCGCGCGACGACGCGCGCGTGCGCACTTCGTCCCATGTGTTGCAATGGAGTGCTGACAACTTATGGTTTTTGATGAAGTGCGCGCGACATATATTCAGTAAAGGATGAGGGCGGGGGCGGATGCCTGAGATGGTCTGAATTCATGTCTAGGATGGACGGTGGGGCAGAATCATCTGTACATTGCAATAAGAAAGGGGGGGCGTTAATTCGGGGGGGTCGGTCCCACTATTCTTTCACAAAAAATTTACGCGGACCAACCATGTGGTGACATCTACGTGGTGTAATCAATTTTGACAGTCTTGAAGCTGTCCTCTCCACTGCTCGTGCAAACATCCCACCCTCCCACCCGCAATTTGGTCGCAAGACATCTTAAGACAAGACCGTGACGGCCGGAGAAGCAAGACGGCCGACGACGACGACGACGACAACGGCGGCGACGACGACGACGCCGACGTCGACGACGACGAAGACGACGACGCCGACGCCGACGACGACGACGAAAACGACGACGACGTCGCCAACGACGACGGCGACGAGGGAGGAGGGAGGACGACGACGGCGACAACGACGACAACGACAACAACGACGACAACGAGGGAGAAGGACGGCGACGACGCGAACGACGAAGAAGGAGGAAGGGCGGCGACGCCGACGACGACAACGACGAGGGAGGAGGGAAGACGACGACGAGACGACGACGACAACGACGACGACGACGGCGACGAAATAGGAGGGACGACGACGAGACGCCGACGACGGACGACGACGACGACGAGGAGGGAGGACGACCACGGCGACAACGACGACGGAAACGACGACGCCAAAGAGGACGACGACGACGAACGAGGAAAGACAGAGGACGACGTAGGCGACGACGACGACAACGACGAGGGAGGAGGGAGGACGGCGACGACGACGACGACGACGACGACGACGACGACGCACGAGCGCGCGCGCACGCTTTTGTTGAAAATCCGTGTTGCGAAACCTTTTTTTTTTTGTAAGTTTATTGGACACGCGATTTTGAAATGCTTCCGAAACCGATGGGTTTTGAAGGTTTCCGGCGTACGCGCGCGACGACGCGCGCGTCTGCACTTCGTCTCATTTTTTGCAAGGGGTTCTCGCGACGGCACACGCGCAAAGGCGTTCGACAGATTTCGACATGAGCGCGCGCGAAGCCCGTTTGGTAGCACTTCGTGAACATCTTGAACAACTTATGGCTTTCTTAAGATTTCGCAAGAGCTTTCGCGGAAGCTTGTTTAGCAACTCTGTGTTGCGAAACCTTGTGTTTTTGTATGTTTTTTTTGGAAACTCGATTGCGAAATCCTTCCCGCACCCAAGGTTTTTGAAGGATTCCCGCATATGCGCGCGCGACGACGCGCGCGTGCGCACTTCGTCTCATTTTTTGTGCAAGGGATTCGTGAAAAAGTGCTATGTTAGAACAAACATGTCACCGCATAGTGTTTTTTACAAGGGAACCTCAGGGGGGGACACTGGCCTAGCTGGGATGGTGTGATTTCATATTTCGGATGGACGAGTGTGCAGAATATATATATATATATATATATATATATATATATGAAATCATACTAGCCCACGAGGAACCGATAAGCCCGGGGAGGGGTAGAGTCTATTCTCTTTTTAGAAAGGAGAATCCACTCTGCTGAACTTGAAGTCGTCATCTCTACTGCTCGCGCAAACATCCCACCGACTCACCCGCAACTTGGTCTGCAAAACCTGTTAAGACCGACTACGACGACACCGACGACAACGACTAGGACGACACCGACGACGTCTCCGACGACTTCGGCGACGACAACGACGCCGACGCCGACGACGACGAAGACGACGACGACGACGCCAACGAAGGCGACGACGAGGGAGGAGGAAGGACGACAACGACGACAACGACGAGGGAGGAGGGAGGACGGTGACGACGCGAACGACGACGAAGGAGGAAGGACGGCGACGCCGACGACGACAACGACGAGGGAGGAGGGAAGACGACGACAACGACGACGACGACGACGACGAAATAGGAGGGACGACGACGAGACGACGACGGACGACGACGACGACGAGGAGGGACGACGGCGACGACGACGCGACGACGACGACGACGAGACAGACGACGTGGACGACGATGACGAAGGAAGGACGACGACGACGACGACGACGACGACGACGAAAGACCACGCACGACGAAACCGAAAGATACGACGACGACGACGAACGACGAAGGACAGAGACATGCGAGACGCGAAGTTTATGCGACGACGATTTTTGTTGAAAACCCGTGTTGCGAAACCTTGGGTTTTTGTATGTTTTTTGGACGCACGATTTTGAAATCCTTCCGAAACCGATGGGTGTTGAAGGTTTCCGGCATACGTGCGCGACGACGCGCGCGTCTGCACTTCGTCTCATTTTTTGCAAGGGATTCTCGCGACGGCACACGCGCAAGGGCGTTCGACAGATTTCGACATGCGCGCGCGAAGCCCGTTTGGTAGCACTTTGCGAAAATCTTGAACAATTTATGGCTTTCTTAAGATTTCGCAAGAGCTCGCGCGGAAGCTTTTTTAGCACATCAGTGTTGCGAAACCAAGTGTTTTTGTGTGGTTTTTGGAAACTCGATTGCGAAATCCCTCCCGCACCCAAGGTTTTTGAAGGATTTCGGCATGCGCGCGCGACGACGCGTGCGTGTGCACTTCGTCCCCTTTGTTGCAACGGATTCGTGACAAAGTGCTACGTTAGAGCAACAAATGTCACCGCATAGTGTTTTTTACACTGGAACTTCAGGGGGGGAAACCAGCCTAGCTGGGATGATACGATTTCATATTTAGGATGGACGAATGTGCAAAATATATATGAAATCGTATTATCCCAAGGGGAACTGATAAGTCCGGGGAGGGGGGGGGGTAGAGTCTATTCTCTTTTTAGAACAGAGGATCTATTTGTATATTCGTAAATGGTGAAAGCGATGTGGTGCAACCGATGTTTTGGCATACGTATATAATTATAGATACACGTGTGCGTGGTGCAATCTATCTGCTGCAACAGATGTGGTGCCATCTAGGTGGAACACCACTTGTGATGCAAATTATGCCTTGCAATAGCTGTTGACCCAGCTATGATGTGCACTCTATGTAGTGCAATATGTGTAGTGCCATCGATGAGGTGCAATAGATATGTGACATGGTAGCAGCCTATGTTGTGAACTACACGTGGTACAACCTATGTCGTGCAAATATGCGGTGCAATCGATGATATGCAATCGAAGCGGGGCAATCTAGGTGGTGCAATCTATGTGGTGCGATCTATGTGCTGCGATCTATGCAACGGCAACGCAATGCAATGCAATACGTAGCACAGGGTAGCAATGCAAGGGCGGCGACGAGGTGGCGACGGCGGCGACATGGCCGCCATACCGAAGACATGGCCCAGGCGACGGGCGGTGACGAGGTGGCGGCGAGGCGGCGACGGCGGCCGCCGCCAGACCGAAGACACGCCCACACGACGGGCGGCGACGAGGCGGCAACGGGGCGGCGACGGCGGCCACATAGTCGCCAGACCGAAGACACAGCCCAGTTCCTTCGAACAGAAGTAAGAAACCTTGAGTGCAAGCACTGCTTGGGGAATAAAAAAAAAATGGAGGAGGAAGCGGGGAGGAGACGCAAGGTTATGCCGAGGCCAGCCACATCAGCCAAGACACCTTCCTGACCTGGGCGAGGACATCCTCTTCGCTCTCTCCTCCCCCTTGCGGTGTGACTCCGTAGCACCTCGCTGCGCAGATTTCTCAGCCCCACCAAGGCCAAGGTGATCGCCAACTGCGTATTCATTCGCACCGATCTTGACCTCACCGAGATCGGCATGAAGGAAACGCCCTGGAGAAAGCGGGTCCTGGACCCAGAGGGCTTCACCAGGATGAGTTATTCGTCCCGAATCGCTTTGTTGGCGGTCGTGGGGCCAAGGGAGAGCCCCAGGAGCCCGAAAACTGACAGAAAGCCATAGGACAACTACCCCATGCCCTTCGCGCTGGTCGGTGAGTGTGTGTTGGCGTCCCCGAGCTGGAGCCACCACTAGCAAACCTCTGCTGTGTTACTCTACGTAATTAGCGGCCGTCACCGGGCCCGCACCTCCCGCTGACGTACTGCTCGGCGCTGGTGGGTCTGAGGATTCCTGGCGATCTCAGCCTTGTCCTGGCCATTCCGCGACCCTGCGGGCGCAAGACGATCTACGTCATTGGGCTCCCTCTTTCGCCGCCCTAGTGGCGCCCGTCACGTTACGCCGGGAGGATTCAAAACACAAAGCACACAGCAAGAAGCACACTGACAAATGTTTCGCACGCAAAATGGCTCCGCTCGCGCAGCCGCTGCCCTCCCCCCACGCCTGTCTCTGGACGGCCGAAATAAGTTTGGAAAACATGGGCACGATGCCCAACAAGCACTGTTGCGCAAAAGCGACAGCGACCGCTGGCACCACGCCACGCTTCCCAAATGGACAGCACCAGCGTGGACACCGACAGCGAGCCCTTTTCAAAATGAGCACTAATGATAGGCCTCCCAGGCGGGGTCTGAGAAGACGGGGTCGGAGAAACGCCCCGCATCGCCGATGAATCGCCGATCGGCGTTACATCAGCGATGCATCAGCGATGCATCGGCGATGCATCGGCGACGTCGGCGGTGCATCGGCGACGCATGCGATGCATAGGCGAACCCTGCGCGAAGCAAACCAGGCTCCGCATCGAGCCGCATCGCCGATGCATCGGCGATGTGGCGCGTTCCTCCGACCCTATCTGCTCGGATCCCACCTGGGAGGCCTAAAGAAAGGCTGTCTGTGTTCGTACCCCGTCTATCTGTATCCATCGTGCCGACCTTCCCCCTTCCGCGCCGAGAGCGCACACGAGCGAGCGACGGGCGAGGTCGCGGGAGCGGGCACGGGACCCACACGGTCACGGCTACAGCAGGATGCGGTACTTCTCTTCCCCCGGCACCCTGGCGAGCGGCTGTGGTGCTGGCTCCACCGATACAGAAGGCACATGCGAGTACTGAGCACTGAGTACAGGTGCGCATTCATCCCCGATATGGCCGCGTCCATTTTGTAGCGTTGCCAACTTGCGGCAATCACACACCCGTGTTGGCGGGCATGTTGCTTGACCCCTCTCGGATGCCCTCGGGCGGAACCCTCGGGAGCCCAACGGGGCTGATGTGACCCGTGTTGGCCCCGCGACCCCGGTGTTGGCAATAACCGCTGCTCCAATACAGATCCCTTGTGCCGGGGAAGCGTAAGACTCGGGTACGGGGGACAAGGGTTGGCCTGACGTGGCAATCATAAAAATGATGCGACCCAATCTGAAATGTGACGCGAGCTCCCACTGCAGACATCCCACGAAAACTGGACAGTCAGAATCTTTAACACGCGCTCGTCAAAAAACGTCGGCAAAACCGAGTTCCCGTTTACTCGAGTTTTACGTTTCCCATATTGTGACGCGAACAACATGGACGGCGGCATATGTGAATTTCCTTGAATGCCTCAGGGCTCATGTGGGTCCATGCTGCCATTGGAGATGCAGATATTGTCGACGGGCACCCGCAGGCTGACCATCTTCTCAATTCTTGACGCTTCGCGTATCCCCACCAACCCATCCTACACCAGGCACTCGAACGAAGAGCGCCGATGATCGGCAGCTGTTCTCCTCCCCTCTTCCTCCTTCTCCTCCGCCTTCTCCTCCTCCTCCTCCTCTCCTCCTCCTCCCTCCCCTCCTCCTCCTCCTCCTCCTCCTCCTCCTCCTCCTCCGCCTCTTCCTCCTCCCTGGTGGCGTATTGGAAGTGTCTTCGAACGTTTTGGTGGGCTCTTGGGCCTTGCGGGCGGGCGGGCGGCGCTCCGCCCGCCCGCGCGCAGGGCCCAAGAGGGGGTCCAAGACGTCTCTCGGAGCCATCCTGGAGGAGATCGATCAACGAAGGGGGGGTCCTAAATTTCAGCCCCCCCCTCAGGAGCCACGATCCTCGTGAGGGGTGTCGAATTCTAGCCCTCCCAGGGGTCGATCTTGGACGCTGTGACCGATCGCGGCCCCCCCTGTCCAGGTCAGTGGGGAGGGGGTAGGGGGAGGGGTAAACCCCTCCCCGAAGGGGAAGAAGGAGGGGTGGAAGAGGAAACGCTCTAAACCACCGACGCCCAGAGGGCTGGTGGGATTTCTCTGCCATGCTGAAGTGGGGACTCACGAAGTCCGCATTCCGTTGCCCCTCCTGTTGGACCGCCTGCGGCAACCTTCACCGCAGGGGCCGTTCCAGAATCACATGGCATCCTAGCCGACATGAGAGAATACGGAATACGGTCAGGAACTGTTGCTTAGCGTGTCGCAGCGGCGGCCCTGGCGACGTGCTACGATAAGCCCTGCGAAGGGATAGGGTGCCGCTCCGCGGGGCGGGAGGCGGGGAACCGCTCGGGACGTTGACGCTTGGGAGTGGGAGAGTGAACGCCTCGCGCGTCGCAGCGAAGCGTGGTGGGGCAGAGCCGGCGGAGCGAAATCCTATCCCAAAGTTCCTGACCGTACACGGCAGGTTCTTGTGGCCATGACGTCGGCGTTGGTCTCTGAAGCCCCGTGGATCGTTCAACCTTGAACGATCGCGGCTCACCCATAACGCAGATCTCTCCACATCGGCCGGCCCTGGGCCACTGGCGACGTTTAAGTTTGAACGCCCGAGCTGGCGTCGCCGCCGCGTCAACGCGGCGCGAATCTGCCGTACCTCGCGCTGCAAGCGATACAACGCTGGGGTGCCATAGGAGGGCGACGCACCGTGCACCCGCACCAGCACCGAAGAAAGGTCAATCCTGCGCGCCGAAGATCTGAGCACTACGCACCACGGCGTCCAACCTTGGTCAGGGAGGTGAGTCGAATAATTCGGAGATCGACTACACAATGGATGTATCCCGAAATGAGCTTTGCGCCGAATCTACAACATACATATATATATATATATATATATATAATTCACGCTGTCTCTCAGAGCGGCCTTCAAGGAAGCGGCGGGTTTGGCAAAGCCGATTCACTATCTCGCTGAGCAACGTTTTCAGACAAGATGAAGAATTGTTCCAGCCACTGCGAAGGTATATGTCACGAAGCGCTTCGCGTGCTGTGGCACGCGCAAATCTGACATTCTGAAAAACAGACTCCCCTACTTCATGAGAGGACGTGAGCTCGGCTCCCAGGGCGGCAGGCGGGGATAGGGAGGCGAGCAGAAAAAAAGGGTGGCTGCGGACGCGACCTGTCGGGGGTCACGAGTGTCCGAAGGCCTCCCCTCCTGTGGAAAACGCGTACTAACTCACATTCACACTGTCTCTCAGAGCGGCCTTCAAGGAAGCGGCGGGTTTGGCAAAGCCGATTCGCTATCTCGCTGAGCAACGTTTACAGACAAGGTGAAGAATTGTTCCGGCCACTGCGAAGGTATATGTCACGAAGCGTTTCGTGTGCTGTGGCACGCGCAAATCTGACATTCTGAAAAAGACTACCATGCCCATATGATGCCCAGGGTGGTGGCGGGGATGTGGTCGGCCAAGTTAACAATACTGGCGAAAAAAGCACTCTTGAGCAGGTCTGGCAGCTTGCGGCCAGCGGCAACTGCCTCTCGCCTCTGGCGTGCTGTCATTTTGTGCAACTGTCGAAGGAGCGTGGCGTGTTTTTTTCGCACCGCCTGGCTGAGGCAGGGCACTTCCATTTCCACGGCCCTGAATCTGCTGGAGGCTTAGAGCCTTGAGGTAGGCGTCCGTAGAGGGGCCAGCGCGGCGGAAGCAGCGCGGCGCGATCCTGAGGCTCTCAACTCCAACGCCTCACATGTCTTTGACGGCCTTCTCGTAAGACGACAGGGTGAGGTGTCTGAAAATACGCTCGCCTTCGCGAGCAGAACTGCGCAAGAAAGCGGCCACGCTTTGACGAAGGCACGGTCGAGGATGCCAATTATCAAGGTGTCGTCTTGCTCGCCCGGCTTCGTTTTGCCAGCTCTCGTGCTAGGGGCCAACGCCAGGCCCCAGTCCACATAGCGTGAGCCACGCTGCAGAAGCGTTGGCAACATATCCTCCTTCTTGATGTCCAGCAAGGTGCCTGGTCGCACGTAGGTGTCCACTTGCATTGCCACCGCCAGTGAACACCAGAAGTAGAAAGCCTGATTCTTGAGCAGCATCCATCGAGCGATCAGCCAGACGGCCTCGATCGGACAAGGGTCCAGGATGCAACCTGGCATCTGTCGTATCCAGCCTCTAAGCGCTGCTTTTGCTCTGGGTAGCACATGGCCGCCTCGGCCGAGGTGTGACAGGTGCAGCAGCGCGTCGCCGTGCAGGGTCCACCTGCCCAGCTGAGGCTGCTCCCGTTGAGCGAACAGCCAGTCGAAGTAGTCCGACATCGCAGAGTCGGCCGCCTCTGGCGTCCGGAGGCCGAGGCCCTTGCCAGCTGCCCAGGCTCTGAACTCCGCGACCTCGGCCTTGTAGGTGCGCAGAGTGCTGGGCGCGACGCTGCACTCCACCAAGTTGCGGGGCTGCGGAGCGGGGCCGTGTCGAACAGCTGGGGAACGGGCGAATCGTTGTCGCCTGCCTTCGGGTCGCTGCCTGGGCGCGGGCAGTGGCCCCGACTGCCACTCGTCAAAGCCCCTTCGCCGACGACGTCGGAGCTTGGGTGAGATCGCCTGTTGGAGACTGGCCGACACCACGACATGTCGAGACGTGACATCTCGGGATGCTGGAAGCACGCGATGCCGTCGCGCGTGGGCGCGAACGAGTCGAGCTACATTGAAGCAGAACTTTGAGCCATAGGCTCCTGCATGCCGAGACGCCTGCTTCCACCGAAAAACTTGCCTGTCTTCATCCCACAATCGTAGCTTGCCTGTGACAACGGTATGGGCGTGGTTCCCAGGGCACTTCCTGGACAGCTTCTCCATCCCCGGGAGAGCGCCGATGAGACGGGTGGGTTTTTTGATCGTGCCCTCGAAACCACAAGCGTGCAATTCAATCACTGAGACACGTGAGTCAGCCAAAACTTCCACGATCGGCTCGAAGCCCCAGAGACGAGATGTGAGAGGATTCTCTAGAACAAAGGCGACGTTTGACTTCAGAGACTCTCTGATAATTTCAGCCGAGAACCACGCATGCTGGGCGCCCAAGAGGTTCTTCTCGCGAGCAACTTCAACGTTCCGAATCCCACGCCTAGCGACACTGAGCGCACTGCACGGGGCGCCCAGCCACACGCGCAGGATCTGGCCATTCTGGAAGAGCTTGACTAAATACTGCCTGACACCAGGGTCGAGGAGGTCGTACTCGGGGCCTTTGGAGATCTCGAGGCCTTCCCCGCACGGAACACCAACTGAGGCCACAGCTCGAGTGAGCCCCTCTTGGCCGGCAAAGAGCTCGAGGAAAATAGCACCACGTCTTACCCGCAGAGTACGACTGAGGTCATAGCCTTTGCTGCGCCTATTTCCCAAGAGAGAGCCCGAAGGGGCCGACGTACCAGGAGGAATCCTTGAGGTCCCAGTAGGAGGCCCACTGGAAGTCCCACGAGGCGCCAAAACCGGACTAGAAGGCCTGGTCGTAGCAGCCCTGGTAGCGCCCGCAGAGGAGGGCCCCGTAGTGGCTCTCGCAGAGGTACTCGTAGGGGAGGCCCTCGAGGTCGCGGAGCTCGTAGGAGCAGGAGCACAAGCAGCCGTGCGGGGAGCAGACGAGGGTGAAGGAGGTGCCTGAGGTCTCTTTCTCGGGCGGCCAGTCGCCCAGACAGTCTCGGCGTCGCGGCTGCCTCGCAGCTGACGGGCAAGGGCGCTCGAGGCGCCGCCGACAGGGCGGCGCCAGGACGCGGCGCGAACTATGGCCATGTCATGGCCGCCACGCTCCAAGCCGAGGTTAATGGCCTTGAGCGTCGGGTCGCTCCCGGAATCAAAACGCCGAGAGCCAGCGTCAGTCGGATACCGGGCTCCCTCCAGATGACGAGTCGCCCACTGGATGCCACAGCCAATCC